CCAACACTTATTAAGTTATGAATATGTAGCAGGCACTCTCCTAAGTGTCTTAGATAAATAACCACATTTAATCCTTACAGTAACTCTATGAAGTGGGAACTGTAGATCCACAAACCCTTGGAGTCAAATGCGTTTTGGAAGTTAGAATTTTTCAGACTTTAAAAAGGAAATATTTATGCACATACTGTATGGGGCAGGGGGCAGCACCCTGAAATCAAACACATTACTATTTCTGCAGTGAGATCTATGAATATTCATAGTAGGGAGTAGAAACAAAACTGTGGATAGACTCTCATCAGCCCAGGTCATCTTTTGCCACCAAATAATTTGTGAAAAATCATTTGGTTTTCAAAGTTCTTTAAGTTTTAGTACTGTGGTTTTGTATTATTATCCCCATTTTATAGATTCAAACAAAGGGGAAAAAATAAATGAAGCACAGAGAGGTGAAGGGACAGCCACTGAGTGGGCTCCCAGTGTTCTGAGCTAGTTACATGAGAGTTCTGCGGGGCAGCTGACTCCAGACACCGGCCTCTCAGCTCCTGCCACACTGCCCTCCAAACTGAGGAAGAGGGGCACCTGGGTGGCTCAGTTAGTTGAGCATCTGACTCTTGATTTTGGTTCAGGTCATGATCCCAGGGTCATGGGATGGAGTCCCATGTCAGGCTAACACCTTAGGAGAATTAAAACAGAAAAAGCAAGGCCCTGATCAGGGTCCCAAAGACAAACTTTCTTTTACATTTCTTTTAACTCCCTCCCTCAGCCTTCCCCACTCCTCCTCTCTCCCCTCCACCCCCTCCACAGCCGGCCAAGTTCACTACTTGCACTTTTTCCACTCCTTTCCGTAGCATGCATTTCCCCAGATCTCACCTGGGAAATCCACCTTCCCTTTGTATTCCCTATGGATTTAGATTTTTGCTGCTGATACATATTCTATGATATATTTTTTTGGATATCTACTCCTATGCCTTATTCCAGGATAGTCATCTCACCTGGAAACTCATCCTTGACTTTGCTAAACAGCCCATTTACCCAGCTTTTGCGAGGTTCTGAAATTATTTAAGATCAATTTGTGGCATTTTGGTTTTCCCACCCATCTTCATGGTACATATTATTCTGCTTATTTTCTTCACGTGCTTTCTAACACATAACTTTATGTTTTATTTGAATAGAAGATACACAATTTATTTTTTTTGAAATGTGAATTAGGAGGCTAGATCTCTTTTCAGCAAGAGAAGGCATGATATGGTGATTTTATCTTCTCCACAAGCAAAATATGAACACACGATATTAATACACAAACGATAATCATGAGGAACCTTAAAACCAGAACTCTCCCAGAAAATTTACAGATATGGTTTCTGCCTTTCTATTCTACCTATAACAGAATCCTATAGGCATGCTTAGTACTAATGACTTTCCTCTTGTTATGGAGCAAACCACTGAAAGGCTTTGCAAGGTAACTTAGAAAAATTTAGGAAAATCTTTAGAAAAATCTGCTGATAGGCCACTGCTCCTGCTTGGGCTATCTTGCATCTGATGGCTTTTGTCTGGATGATCACTCGTCACCTTGGCCATTCACCTGCAGTGCTACCTGTGGTTCTTCCACGCATTTGTGCTCACTCCCTTTTTCTCTAAACTATTAGAAGCAGTGTTTCTCCAACTTTTCTACATTTTCTCTTGGCTCCATATTAACCTGACATTAAAATTTATTATCTCCTTACTATCTTTGCTCTCTCTCCTCTTCCTTCAGGTCTACTCTAGGATGTGAAGTCACAGACTTCATTTCAAGCCCATCCTTTTCCTCCTCTCCAATTTCTGATCCTCCCTTTGGTAACCTCTCTTATTGGGTCACTCATTAGTACTGCTTCTTCCAAATGGCAAGTACGAAAATAGTATAGCAGAGAGACTTTGGAATCTGGCAACCTTGGGTTCTAATCTGACTGCATTACTTGTTGGATAAAACCTTATACAAGTGGCTTCACCCTTTATGTTTAAATTCCATTTGTGTTGCTGAGCTAACAGCACAGATGAAATTATTTTTAAAATATGGATTTAAAAATCATTTACAAGCTTACAGAAACTAGAAAACCAAACGTGACACACCAGAGAACATCTATTTATCATGCAGACTGAGAGTGTGCAAAATCGACTTGTGGGTGAGAGGCAGTAGACATAAAGAATTACTGACTTTCTAGTTCAACCCACTCATTTTTTAGGTGAGAAAAATGAAGTGGAGGAAAAGAAAGTGATAAGTGTGGGGTTGTCAGACTTTAAGAGAGCCCAGGATCAGAGCCTGAACCTGTCAAAGGTGAATGCTTGTCCATGGGACTCTTTTCCTAGGTGCATTTCAGAGTCCCAGGACCTTCCTTCTCTTCTGCTTCAGGCATCATAGCCAGCCTGACCCCCAGCTAGTGACCCACTCTGCAGTTTGGATGTTTCAACTGCCTCTGTACTCCTGGATCCTTAGCTTTGGCCAATGGCCTCTGTGTGTGACTGCCATCCATCAGTGCTGCAAAACAATGGCCCTCATTTCCCCCTTCCACCATTTAATTCTGCCCTTGCCAGGTTACAGCTATATTCCCAAACCGGATGAGTGGGACCATGCAGCATGATCCTACTTGGAATAAGTTAAGAAGAAAGTTATTGGTGTCTGTGACTTGCAAAGTTACAGCTCCTGTCCCCACTGTTTACCTCTGAATCCAAGCATTATCTAGGCCTAGGGATTTCACTTGTGGGAAACTAGGGTCCTAATAATCCAGGCCATAAGACTTCCAAGCTATGGAGTAATAAAAAGAGCAAGGAAAGAACAATGGAATCAAACCTGGGTTTGAATCTGGATTCTACCTATTTCTACCTGGGTCGACATTGAGCAAGATATTTTGACCTTTTGCGCCTCAGTTTTCTAATCTGTAAAATGGGAGAAATTCCACTGACCTCATAAAGCAGTTGTGAGCATAAGAATACTAGGTGGCTCTGTTGGTTAAGCGTCCAACTCTTGATTTCGGCTCAGGTTATGATCTCACAGTTTGTGAAATCAAGCCCCGCATCAGGCTCTGTGCTGACAGCATGGAGCCTGCTTGGGATTCTCTCTCTCCCTCTCTCTGCCCCTTCCCCACTCGCACTCATGCTCTCTCTCTCAAAACAAATACATAAACATTAAAAAAAAAAAGACTGTAAGTAAAGTGCCTAACACCAGTGTAGGGCACATGACACAAACTCAATAAATAGTCATTCTGGTTAGACCTTTATTGGAAACTTAGAGGGGGGCAGTCAGAAATTAAAGGCTGGGCGCTGGCTCCAGCCCTCTGTATCCCACCTGCTACTTTCACCAACCCCCATCTCTACCATACCGCATCCAAGATGGAACCCACACCTTAGCTACACCATGGGAGCAGCAAGTAACTTCTCTGATATGGCCTCAGGATCCCCATTAGGTTCCCAACCACCTTTCTTACATCTGTCCAAGGCTGTGTGTCTCTCTCCATCCATAGTGAACTGATGGGCCAGATATTTAACTAACATTTATTGATTGCTAACTACTATATGCCACACACTGGGCAGAGTTGGGGAGTGTGGTGGGGAGAAGGACAAGATGTGCTTCCCGCTTTCCAGGAGGTTATAGAGCAGGAGAGGAGATGCCTGCTCTATCTCTCCTGCCTCTATCATATCCACTTCCTAGAAGCCAAACCTACTTTTAAGTCAACCTATATATTTAGGTCCAGTTTTTTAGCCAACCTTGATAAAAGCAAGGTGCACAATTGTCATCAGCTGTCTTTCATTAAGGCTTAAAGTTAACCCTCATTTCCTAGACCCAAGGTCTGGTAGCCCAGCCTACCTGTGGAACTAAGGTGTACTTGAAAGACCTTCACTCTTAGCCATTCCAGGAGCCCAGTGCCCCACAGGTGTGTCTATAGACACAGTAATACTTTGGTCCTACATGGCATCATGACCCAATCCTCTGGCCAAGTTTCTAAAACAGGGAAGAAATGCCTTACAGAGCTAGTGGGGCTGAAGCACTGCAGATATTTCAAACCTTAGACAGAAAATATCTCTCTCCTGTGCCTTCCTGCTTTGGGTCCCTTGGTCATTCCTGTCTTCCTCAGCACTTTCTATTTAGGGCTGTCATGATCTTCCATCTAAACAAAGTTTCTTTTGTACTCTAGGTCTGATCCTTTCCCCTTTCTGCAAGAAAAAAAAATTTCCAAGTCTTTCTGGAAATGTAACTAAGATACTTAATATAACAATACTCCAATTTATTCATTTGGTCCAATTGTGTTTTCTATAGAGATGTCACATAAGACATAATATTGATACATGCCATTAATATTGATGTTATCAGAGATTACTAGTTTATGATAATGTATAACACTACTGACAACGCAAAGACATTAAAAAGGGTTATGCTACCTTAATTTTATAACTTCTATTATCATGAAATCAATGCACAAAGTAAAAAATGTATAGAAAACTTGGTTTAGGTAAAGTGAATCAGAAAGGCAGAGAGATTGAAAGGAGGAAATCTGGTTAGGGGCTGTTGGAAAAATATAGACCACAGATGATGAGGGCATGAACAGAGCTTTATAATTTGATGCTTGCAGTTACGTCTAATGAATACATAACCAAATCACTATATATTGTCACCTTTCCAAATCTGCAAATTCCCTGGCCTTAAAAGAATTTAATTCTTACTTCCCCAGCCCACACCCTCTCATTAAGGCAAGTTATTTTGTTATTGATCTCAGCACAGACCTGTCAAACAGGTGCTTTGCCCTTAGTCTTGGCTTACCTTCCCCCCTGCCTGGAGCCCGGAAGGCATACCTGCACAAGGGCAAAACAGGACACTCTGCTGTGACCTCTCTGGCCACAGCCTCTCACCAGGGAGTGGTCACCTGCCATACACATTATTCAAAACCAGGAACCAAGGTGTGGTCTGAGCTCCTTTAAGCTCAAGGGTTTGGGGGCTCCTGGTGAGTCCCCAGAGAAGAGTCCAGAAGAAGAGAATGGAAGGGGGGTGGCCTGCTGGGGGGGGATTCCTCCTCTACCTCACTGTCAACCTTCTGCTTCCAGGTAAGATGGGGCAACAAGAGAAGACCAGAGTGGTTCTGAAGGACATCTAGAAACTTCTCTGCAGCACTTGGAGGACATTCAGAATTAACATGTTAAATATTTCTTCCCTAATATCTGTGTCTTGAGTGTGTGTATTTGTGTGTGTGTGTGTGTGTGTGTGTGTGTGTTTGGGTATATCAGATAGGAAGACATTTTGCTGATCAGTATACACTGACTTCTCTATTCCTGTCTGCATAGGGATCTGCCAAACTGTCCCACTTCACCACCTTCCAATTACACCTTTTCACCCACTTCCGATGCCCCTCCCCCTACACCCTCATCCCACTCTTCCTGTCTTCTTCCCTTGACATAGTATCTGTGAGAAGGGTAGCCACTGATTTTAAACATGTCATCAAGGAGCAGGTAAAACACTGAGGGAAGGTAGGAATCAATCTGAGGTAGGAGTAGATAATTTGCTTCCATGAGGGAATATTTGTTCCTAGCCTGGATATATACCTTAAATACTATGAAAAGAGATGGAGTTGTAGAGGAGCAAGCAGAGCAAAAGATCACACAAAGCTGGAAATGGGGCTAAGATTCTGCTCAGGTACTACCAAGATGGCTCCCTGGTCATGGCCAAAACACAACACCTACACAGGCCTCACTATACTATTGGCATATGGTACAAGCTCAGTGATATTGCCTAGTTATCCCAATGCTGGAAATAAAACCCAAGATATCTGAGGTCACTAAATCTGAGAAGGAAAAATAAATGCATAGCACCAAGGTACATACCCATTCAGAATACCTACTACATGTTATCCATATCTACCTAGGAAGTACATTTGTTTACTTCCCTTATTTTTTTTTGACAAATCAGTTCTTGTCTTCAGTAAACAGAAGTCCCTGAGAATGAGGAAAATACATTATAGCAGATTTCTAAGTGACCCAGATGACAAGTGTTAGGACAGTGCTGAGAGGTGCTACTAGGTAGACCCAAGAAGCCTGTGACATACATTTGAGGACTTGTTGAAGTGAGACCAAGTTTGCATATAGATTTGGGCAGATTTTGCATGAGGATGAAACAATAGGAATGAGAATATAGCCCTGACTCAGCTTACCACACCAACTTCCACCATTTGCCTACTTGACCAGCCCATCCTCTCTGGCCTGGCAGGAAGGGCTTTGGCCTTGGGAAAACTTGGCCCAGGGAGGAGGGCTCACCATTCCTCCCAGTATGTCACCTGTTTTCTCTCTGCAGAGAGACTTCAGCCCTGGCAATAGAGGCTCTCTCTTACAGGGTCTCTGCTCACTACAGGAAAAGGTGACACTTTCACCATCAATTGCTCAGGCTTTGACCAGCATGGGGTGGATCCTGCTGCCTTCCAAGCAGTGTTTGACAGAAAGGCCTTCCGTCCAGTCATCAACGACAGCATCCCCACTCGTGTCAACATCTCCTTCACCCTGTCTGCCATCCTGGAAGTGGTGAGACATGGTCCCCACTTTCCATAGATTCTAATAAGGAACAAGGATTCTCTGCCCTGTCAACCCAACATTGTACTTGCCCAGTGGTGAACATTCAGTCCTCTGAATGGATTCTGTACAAATTAGAGGATTTTCCTATGGGATGGGGAGACATAAAGAATAATGCTACAGTAATATTTTTTCAGGATTTGTTCTTGAGCCCTGTCCTTTCTAGAATGCTCCAGAAAAAAAGAGTGGTCTGTCAATTAAAACTGAATTGTCCCTAGCTATGAGGGGAGACAAGTAAGGAAAAGACAGTCCAGCATCTAGAACTATGCCTGGCCCAATAAATTATTAAATATACGAATATGAGGTGGGCATAGGTCAAGTCTTTTTGTACTAACAACCCTGGATGGGAATTTCTTTACCAGAATGCACAGCTCCAGCTTCTGACGTCATTCCTGTGGATGAATTTGGTAAGGCAGCCTCAACTATCTCCCTCCCAGTTCCATTTATAAGTGTAAATTTGAGGAGTGACTCAAAGGTTTCCTAGTCCAAACCTCTACTCAATGTATAAATCTTTCTGTGACCAAATAACTCCATCTAGAACTGGACTGGCCTTGGGGACACAAATCTCTCTGGGTAGCTTATGAAGGTGGAAATGGTGACGCAAGAAAATGGCCAAATGGTTACAGGCCAATATATTGGTGTGCTCCTGGGACCAAGGAATTTTATACTATATTTAAGTGGAAAAAAGGCCACTAAAGGGGACTTTACCAGTGACACTTGGCTATATGAAGAGGGGGGATACAGGCTGTGGTCATTAGGGACACAAGTGGGAGAAAGAGGATCAGAGCTCAAGGAAGAACAGGAGGGGCAGGAGAGGCTGATTGCATAAGCTCTGCCATTGCTCACCTGTTTCCTGGCTCACTGCCCTGGCTACAGATGTGGGACAATGCCTTCATCAGCTGGAACCCAGAAGAGTGTGCCAGCATCAATAAACTCACTGTATCAGCTGAAAACCTGTGGCTCCCAGACATCTTCATTGTGGAATCGTGCGTATCTGGGCTGGGGAAAGCCAGTAGGAAGCCCATCTGCAAAAAACAGCCTAGGGCTAGTGCAAGGCACAGGGACATCAAAAGAGTCAGATGGGGCACTGTGTCAATTAATTGACTCCCACAAAACACTATGAGGAGTACGAGAGACAAGATAGAGTGACAGTAGAGAAAGAACCCAACTGGAGAGCATAGGAGAGGAAGACTTGGGAAGGGAAACAAAACTAATGAAGGCACCACAGCACCCTCTCCCTCCCTCTCACAAGCAGCATGGATGTGGATCGAGCACCTCCAGGTCTCACTGTATTCGTCAGCAGTGAAGGTCAAATGACCTACGACCGGCCAGTGCGGGTGACCAGCATCTGTAATCTAGACATCTTCTACTTCCCTTTCGACCAACAGAACTGCACCTTCACCTTCAGCTCCTTCCTCTATACAGGTGAGCAAGACATGTGTTGGTAGTTATTCAAGATTTGGGGAAGATATTTAAGTGGTATAGGTATGATTAGAGAAGGTTTTAGATCAGTGTTTCTCAACTGTGGCCACCCACGAAACCTTTTTAAAAATACCAATGACTATGCATCACTCCAGAGATTCCAATTTAATTGTTCCAGGTGGGGCGCAGGTACTGTTAGTTCTTATATGTCATCAGCTGATGTTAGTGTGCAGACAGGATTAAGAATTACTGCTTTAGGGGTGCCTGGTGGTTCAGTCAGCTAAGTGTCTGACTTTGGCTCAAGTCATGACCTCATGGTTCATGAGTTCAAGCCCCATATTGGGCTCTGTGTTGACAACCTGCTTCAGATTCTGTGTCTCCCTCTCTCTGTCCCTCCCCCGCTCGACTCTGTGTCTCTCTTAAAAACAAATAAACATTCAAAAAATTAAAAAAAAAAAGAATTACTGCTTTAATTCCTCAATGAAGTTTATAAAAAAGAACTACAGGGGTGCCTCGCTGGCTGAGTCAGAAGAGCATGCAACTCTTGATCTCCAAATTGTGAGTTCAAGCCCCACGTTGGGTGTAGAGATTACTAAAAAATAATAATAATAAACTTAAGGGGTGCCTGGGTAGCTCGGTTAAGCATCCAAATTCAGCTCAGTTCATGATCTCATGGTTCATGGGTTCGAGCCCTGCGTCAGGCTCTGTGCTGACAGCTTGGAGGCTGGAGCCTGCTTAGGATTCTGTGTCTCCCTCTCTCTCTGCCCCTCCCCCGCACACGCTCTGCCTCTCTCCCTGTCTCTCAAAATAAATAAACATTAAAAACTAAAAATAAAAAAAAAGAATTACTGCTTGATATCTTGGATGGCCCTTGTGCCAAATGAGGTTCATCTGACCCTGAGCTACTGCACCTCCACAATTTTTAGCTGAAACTTTTTATTTTTTTATTTTTTAAAAATGTTTATTTCTTTACTTTGAGTGAGAGAGAGAGCAAGAGCACACACAAGTGGGGGAAGGGCAGAGAGAGGGAGAGAGAGTCTTAAGCAGGCTCCACACTGTCAGTGCAGAGCCTGATGAGCGGGGAGATCATGACCTGAGCCGAAATCAAGGGTCAGACCCTAACCAACTGAGCCACCCAGGCACCCGTAGCTAAAACCTTTTAATTTTGATAGCTAATACACTTTACCAGTAAACACATTGAATGCCACCAGGTGTCATGTGGCAGATTTAGATAAATTAATCATTATAATGGGCATGCATGTAATTATAAAAAGGTTGAGCTATTCATGTTTGATTCCACCAAAACAACATCATAAAACTGGGGAATGGAGAAGGAAAGTAGGAATGATTGCAGAAGTTCTTGACTCATGTTTGAGTCATATCCAACATTCCCATAACAACTTTGACTCATTCTTGTTTTCAACCAAAAAGAAAAAAAAAAAAATCAATGCTGCAGCCTGCACACCCATGAACTGTGGTCCTGTAATCCATTTTTAAGAAAACTTGGATGCCTTGCCTTAAAAAGGAACAGAGAGGAAAATTTGTTGAAGAAGCTCAGTAGGGGAGGAATTGAGTCTGGGGGCAGGAAGCTGGGAGAACTTCTGGACCAAACTGCCTTTGGCCTGCCTTGCAGTGGACAGCATGCTACTGGGCATGGACAAGGAAGTGTGGGAGATAACAGATACATCTCGCAACCTCATCCAGACCCAGGGAGAGTGGGAGCTCCTGGGCATCAACAAAGCCACCCCAAAGATGTTGGTGGGCAGCAACCTATATGACCAGATCATGTTCTATGTAAGTCCAGGGGCCCCTGTTTGACTTCTGATCCCAGTTGCTCTTTGGTTTTCCTCTTAATCTAAGGCACTTTAGAATGTAAAAAAGAATTTCTGGGGGGTTAAGCACCTATTCCCCACTCCACCCTCTATCCTAACTGCCCTGAAGAATGATCCCCAGGGCCCCCCCCACCCCCGCCTCTTCCCATCACCTCTTTCCCCTCCCCACCCTGCAGAGAGGAGGCTGGGCTTGGCTGTAACAAGCTCTACTGCTCAGAATGGAGCAGCCACCTCTGTGATGGTCCAAAGGGCCCTACTTGTCCCTAGATGTCTACAATTGTTGTGTTCCCAGCAGGTTGGACATATTTACAAGTGAAAATTAGACAACAAAGTGGGTACTTCTGTAGAGGGCACAATTAAATGCATGTGGTACCTAAAGTGATCCTCCCACAGCCAGCCTCAACACATCAGCAAGGATTAGATAGTCAAATATACAAGTCGAGCTCTCTAACATCAGTTTATTTGCCACATTCTCCACAAATCCTCCCCACAGGTGGCCATCAGGCGCAGGCCCAGCCTCTACATCATAAACCTTCTGGTGCCCAGTGGCTTTCTGGTTGCCATTGATGCCCTCAGCTTCTACCTGCCGGCAGAAAGTGAGATTCGTGCCCCATTCAAGATAACACTTCTGCTGGGCTACAACGTCTTCCTGCTCATGATGAATGACTTACTCCCTGCAACTGGCACCCCTCTCATCAGTATGGTCCCTCCCACTTTCCAGGGAAGCAAAGGCAGCAGGGCACAGGGAGGGAAACAGGAGAACCGATGCCTCTCCACTTAAGGAGGGAAGGGGTTCTGAGGAAAGATTGGATTTGGAGAGTATTAAGACAAGTGTAGAAAAGAATCTGCCCTAGGTTACTTAGAATTTGCTTTGTCCTAAGGTGTCTACTTTGCCCTGTGTCTGTCCCTGATGGTGATCAGCCTGCTAGAAACCATCTTCATCATCCACTTGTCGCACATGGCTACCACACAGCCCCCACCTATGCCTTGGTGGCTCCACTCTCTGCTCCTCAATTGTGCAAGTCCAAGGAAGTGCTGCACCACTGCACCTGGGAAGGGAAATAAGGGCTTCGGCCTCACCCTCACCCACCTGCACGGTAAGGGGAGTCAGCACCGCCTACACTTTCTCTTCCCACACCTCCACTCTTTTACTGTTTCTTTCCTCCCTGTCTCCCTTGCTCCCCAGGTGAACTCCATGGCCCATGGCTGGGTCTCTGTCTCTCTGTAGGTATGAAGAAGCCCGTGGAGTTAGTGGAGAAGGTGCCAGGTACCAGAGGGACAGGGTTAAATGGGTGTCCTGGGTCAACAAGGGTTCAACAGGAAGATGAGGCTCAGAAGCAGCACTTGGTCGACCTGTGGGTGCAGTTCAGCCACATGATGGACACCCTGCTCTTCTGCCTCTACCTGCTCTTCACGGCCACCTCCATCATCACAGTCATCGTCCTCTGGAACACCTAGGCAGGCATGCATTTCCACTTGTCCCTGCAAACCACAGCCTGGAGTTTCTCTTGGTCTTAGAGCCAGCCAGTTCTGGGCCCCATTCCTGATCTTAGCCACTTAACCCCAGTGACTACCATATCCCCATCTATACTCCCCAAACTCCAACACAACTGTACCAAGCAGGTTCAGAATAGCCCCAAACAATTTCCTGATTTCTCATATGTCATTCCTACACATTTTAAGAGTTCCTTAGCCACACATAACTTCTGACTCTCTTATCAATGGAGCTGAGGGTCAGCAGAGTCTCTCTTTGATTGATTGTCCCCCAAACATAACTTTTCAGGAAGAACTGGCTCCTCAGTACATTTCTAATAGGTCCACAAACACTGGGACATAGACTACCAAGTCTTGCAGAGGACTTGATAGTTCACTTAAACAGCTGTAATCTGATTTGATTTGAAGACACTTTCAGAATTTTAAAAGAAAGAAAAGGTCAAGTCTCATTTGTAAAAAGTTACTATAAAATATTTACAACAGGAAAATGTTTCTTGTATCAACTAATTTCACTTCACTTGCCTTCTCTCTCATTCCTGAAATTGCTCTTTGAAATAAATTATATATTGTGTCCTTTTTCCCCCTTATGAATTCACAAAATCAGAGAGGGCCTTCTGAAAATATATGTTTGGAGGAGGGCTGGGAAGACTAAGGGTTCAGGTTAGGAGCGCCTGGGTAGCTAGTTGGTTAAGTGTCTGACTCTTCATTTTTGCTCAGGTCATGAACTCACAGTTCGTGGAATAGAGCTGTGGGGTATGGAGTCTGCTTAAAGCTTCCTTCTGCCTCTCTCTCTCTCTCTCTCTCAAAACAAAACAAAACAAAACAAAACAAAACAGAACAAAAAACCCCAAGGGGGTGGTTCAAGTTAAATCAATTATCCTATAGCCACATAATTAGTTGCTTTGTAGCCATTTAAAGTAAGAAGGTAGATCTATGCTCATACCATAGAAACAGGACCATGATATATAAAGTGGGAAAAACAAGTTATTACACATAATTTCTGTTAAAAAAAAAAAAAGGAGGGCTAGAGAGAAGGGCAGAGAAAAAGGTATGGATGGCTAGAGACCAAAACATCATAAGCAAACTTTGTCTTGGATTAGGGAATTAGAAGTGTTTACTATTTTCTTTTATATCTTCATTTGTGTTTCCTTTTAAGTTTATTTATTTTGAAAGAGAGAGTGTGTGCATGCACTCACATGAACGAGTGGAGGAGGGGAAATGATGGGGGGGCAGGGAGAGAATCCCAAGCAGGCTCCACGCTGTCAGTGCGAAGTCCAATGTGGGGCTCAAACTCACGAACTGAGAGATCATGGCCTGAGCCAAAGTCAGACGCTTAACTGACTGAGTTACCCAGGTACCCTTTCATCTGTGTTTTCTTAATTGTTTTCAATGAGCACATATTATTTCTACTATCCAAAAAAGCCCCAATTTTAAAAAAAAAATTTAATGTTTACTTATTTTTTTTTATTTTTTTAACGTTTATTTATTTTGAGACAGAGAGAGACAGAGCATGAATGGGGGAGGGGCAGAGAGAGAGGGAGACACAGAATCGGAAGCAGGCTCCAGGCTCTGAGCCATCAGCCCAGAGCCCGACGCAGGGCTCGAACCCACGGAACGTGAGATTGTGACCTGGCTGAAGTCGGACGCTTAACCGACTGAGCCACCCAGGCGCCCCTGTTTACTTATTTTTAAGAGAGACAGAGACAGAGCATGAGCGGGGGGGGGGGGGGCGGGGAGAAAGAGAGGGACACAGAATCCGAAGCAGGCTCCAGACTCTGAGCTGTCGGTGCAGAGCCGGACACGGGGCTTAAACCCACTAACTGTGAGATCATGACCTGACTTGAAGTCAGACACTTAGCCAACTGAGACACCAGGCACTCCAAGCCCCTATTTTCTTAAGTGCCCCTTACTAATAGTACTTCACACCTTCATAGGCAGATATGATCCTGGGGAAGATTCTAACAGCTGGCCCTGAGGAGAGACAGAAATTGAAGATGGAGGCAAAAGAATACCAAAGACATATTTCTGAATTATATTCCAATTAGGTGAAGACATTTCAGAGATTTATTTACATTTCTGCCTCCCCTAAGAGAATGTGTCTTCATGAAAGTCAGGTACAGTGTCTCATTCATTTTTTTAACTCAGTATCAGGCATTATGCCTGACATATCACAGGTGCTTAACATAGACTTGCTGAATGATTAAACGAATGAGTGAATGCCAGCCAACCAAGAATTAGTATTTTACTACCTCTAGGTGTAATCTCTTTATCCCATCCTGGTATATTTTATTTTTCCATATCTAACGTGGGAAATAAGCTACCCATTGTTAGGCATCAGCTATCTTTGGGTTCTTAGAGACATTAATTAGAGGCACCGGCAGAGACATTTCTGGTGGCAGATTCTCTTGTGCTTCCTTCTTTCCATTACTTTGAACATATTTCTCACTCAGAAACTGTCCTTGACTTTTGTCAATAATGTAAAATGGAGAGTGTCTGCCACATCTTTGAGGAATTTCCAATTTCTTAAGATGACTTTTGCATCATTTCTTTTTCCTTTCCCATATCCACATTGTATTTCTTTAGATGTCATTTTGCAATGTTCTTCCACCTCACAGAAATGTGACTTTAGTTTTCAGTGCCAAGACCATTATGATTGACAATATCCTTTGCAAAAGAACATCCTGTTTGTATGTTAGAGTTGAGGCGAGGCTTGTGGTCTGAAACACGACCTAAAAATGAAGCAAAATATTTTAAGCCAGTACTAGCCTAGACATGTCATCAGGAACGTTAGGAGTATTTCACAATTTCAGACGGGGTGCTTCTGGTTTCTGACATCCTTTCTCCCACTTAAGATATATACAAACAGCAGCCTTTGTGATAATACCTTTATTTCATTTTCCTCCAGTTTCTATTGTAAACCTCTGTTAAGAGTATGCATTGGATGGGGCGCCTGAGGGGCTTAGTCGGTTGAGCTTCCGACTTTGGCTCAGGTCATGATCTCGCCGTCCGTGAGTTTGAGCCCCGCGTCGGGCTCTGTGCTGAGAGCTCAGAGCCTGGAGCCTGTTTCAGATTCTGTGTCTCCCTCTCTCTCTGACCCTGCCCCGTTCATGCTCTGTCTCTCTCTGTCTCAAAAATAAATAAACGTTAAAAAAAAAAAAAGAGTATGCATTGGAAATGTATGAACTGTGTGTAAAAAACAGACCATTGGCCCTAGATTACTACTCACCTCCAATGTTTGATTATGCTTCTAACTTCTCAGATTGTCATTTCTACTAGCTTCCCACTCTCTCCTTTCATTAGCAGTATCTAGGGGTATCCTCACAAACTTCTCACATCTCAGTGTTTATCTTCTTCTTTCTTTTTTTTTTTTTAATGTTTATTTATTTTTGAGAGACAGAGAGAGCCAGAGCTCAAGCAAGGGAAGAGCAGAGAGAGAGGGAGACACAGAATCCAAAGCAGGTTCCGGGCTCCGAGCTGTCAGCCCAGAGCCTGACGCGGGGCTCGAACCCACGGACCTTGAGATCGTGACCTGAGCCGAAGTCGAATGCTCAACTGCCTGAGCCACCCAGGTGCCCCTTATTTGTTTTTTAACTCAAGCATAGCTGACACACACGGTCACACCAGTTTCAGGTGTGCCACATAGTGATTTGACACCTCTACACATTATGCTACGCTCACCACTAGTGTAGCTACCATCTGGAACCAGACAACACTGTTGAAATACTGTATTCCCTACGCTGTGCCTTTCATCCCTGTGACTTAGTCATTCCACCCTGAAGGCTGTGCCTTCCACTCCCCATCACCCATTTTGCCCATTCCCCCATGCCTACCCCCTTTGGCAACCAGCAGTTTGTTCCCTGTATTTATGTGAATATCTTCTTCTCATTGTTTGTTGGCTGTGTTTCCTCTTCTATAAAGTGTCAATTTATGTCTTTAGTCGATTTTTCTGATAGGGTTTTTTTTTGTCACTGTTATGCATTTATAGGTATGTTTTGTATATTTTCTACTATTTTTTCAGTTATATATGTGTTGCAAAGATATTTTCCCAGTTTATGATTTGACTTTTCACATTTAGTGCCCTTTATTGAAAATAAGTTTAAAATTTTTAAATTGCTGAATTTATCACTTTTCCTTTGTGTTTGTGATTTTAGGGTCTTATTTTAAGAAATCCTTCCTTATCCAAAGTTTTAAATCCTTAAAAATGCAGAGAAACTGGATTGTTCATATGTTGTGGGCAGGAATGTAAAATGGTTCTGCCACTCTGAAAATGAGTATTGCAATTTCTTTAAAAACTATACATGCAAATACCTTACAGTCTAGCAATTGTACTTCTGAGTATTTATTCCACAAGACTTATGTTCACACAAAAACCTGTAGACAAATGTTTATAACAGCTTTATATGTAATAGACAAATAATTGTAAACAATTCTGTGAAGAAATAGGTATTTGGTCTCTGGTCCCAGTTCCTGACACAGAGTTTATAAATCCCTTGCAATTTCCTAAATAACAGGAGCATCTCTCTAATAAGGTGACTCTTGGTGGCCTCCTGGGTAGCTTCAGGATGGGGACTGGTCATCAGGAAGACCCAGCCATGATTAGAAGCTTGGAACTCTCAGCCCCAATTCCCATCCTTTAGGGAGGGGAAAGGGACTGGAGATTGAGTTAAATTGATCATGCCTACATGATGAAGCCTCCCTAAAAAATCCTTAAACTATGGGGTTTGGAGAGCTTCCAGATTGGTGACACATCTACATGCTGGAATTCTACAGGGACAGAATCTCCTGCCCTTACAACCCTTCCAGATCTCACCCTGTGTACCTTTTCCTCTGGCTGTTCATCTGTATCCTTTATTGCATCCTTTTCAGACTATGAAGAGAAGTAAATGTTTTCATGAGTTCTGTGAGCTGTTATAGCAAATTATTGAATCTGAGGAGGGGGCTATGGGAATCCCCAGTTTATTGTC